CCGAGTACCAGCCGAATCTGCCGCGTAGCGGCAGAGAGCGACTGGTATCTCCATATTACGGTTTGATGAACCACTGCCGCGAATAGGAGCTCATTGTACTCAGCTTTACTCTTATTTATTCTTTCAACAAACTTTCACTGCCGAAGCTTAGAACTTTTTGTGACATTTGCAGGACTCATAAGAATTCTAAGAAATATGGCGTTGATATTACAAAAGTTAAAAGAATGTGCAAGTGGTTTGTTGTTGCTTGCATTGTGAAAATTTCTTAGTTTCAAAATCCATCTCCCAAAAAGAATTTCTGAGTTATACGGTCCCAAAAATTTGGGGAAGCACCCCAAAATTTTTCGAAATTCGTTGCTAACGCGACGTACATTCTAGAATTTTTTGTCGCCCCATACAGAGATCCTACTGACCGCCACTGGTGGAATAGAGTCAAGTGAATCGAAATACAAGATTATAGTTTCCGTCTGCTTTCGTGTTGTTCCATTACTCTCAGTGTTTTAGAGCACATCGATGAAGGATGGGAACGAAGCCTTGAAATAAACGAGATGGAGGCCGTGCGAGCCCCGCTTGATGACACACCGGTCGTGAATTTTGGGCCGAAAGATGATGATATTGGATCAATCTGGACATTACTGATAGCCCTAGCAGGGATTATAGCTATTGTCGCAATAGTTGTGTATTTCGCTATAAGCAGATGATCACATCAACTTCATCACACTTTATACCGGCGGGTTTAGGGATGAACCGAGATTGTTTGTTTGATTACCATTTTGTACGTACCGACAAATCAGTAAGAAGTTAGGAATTCGAGTAGATCGCTCGCTATGTGTGCTCCGGAATCCTTTGATTGAAGTTTCTTTTCGGATGCGTGTTCACCGTCAGCCACCTTTTGTCCAAAATCTGAAGTCTGCGAAAGTTCGAAAAATTTAAAGTTTTTGGGCGCGCTTGATGTGGTCGTTCATCTGAAAAATCTGCCAGCTCTTCCTCGCCCTTCGTTTCAAAAAAATTTTATTTCTACGCTGCCACTGCTGTATGACTATTTTCTGTAAGAGTGTTTAAATTGGTTTCGGTTTCCTACATCATTATAATCGTCATTCTTTGAAAAAACATGAGAACGAATGAATGGCATACATCAGCGAGCAGATCTACTCGAATGTGTCGGTTCATTTTGAATTTTGGGTTATAGTTGTACTCATTTGGCGAGGACCATGTATGTAAGATATACTTTATAAAAGTTGGAATATATCTATAAATCGTATAACTTCAAATGGAACTTCTCACAATATATGGATTTGAAGAAGCCCTAATAGTGGTTAGTCTACGTACACAATATCTTACAAGGGAAGGATACCTGATGACCATGGCGTTCTGAAATGAAACGTACACCACTTTATGTATTTTGAAGTTCTGATTTTCCATTGCCTTCGGTTCTGCTGTGTGTTCTTACGAAAGAAGTTATATAAACATTTCTTACCACTAAAATTTGCATTGTTTTGGTGACAGGATTGACCAATATCGTGGGTGTGGTCCCTTACGCACTGCAAACGAGCGTTCCAATGAAATAAAGCATAAAGCTCAGGAAAACTGTCTCCAGTATATCCGAGTCTAGCTAGCCTGAATACTGACAATTTGTACTGCCTAGATCTCATGAAATTATTCTAAAAAAA